ATGATTTAGGATTGTTTTTTTTGGCAAGTGTGCCCTGCCGATACCGATTTTTGCCGATTCTGATTTTCTTTCTAAAAACTATAATTGACAGCATATACAAACAAAAATCTATGCAAATTTCAATGCCAAAATTATTTACATAATAAAATAAATGATTAAACATTACAATTCCCCCAATCTGGACTAAGTTACAGATGTTCTCTCACTTAAACAACTCAAAATAAATTGCTCTGTGACTGGAAAGAGGTAGAAGTAACAATTAAAGGGTTAGTTCACCCAAAAATGAAAATTCTGTCATTAATTGCAATTTTCTTGTCCGATTCCGATTTTTTTATTTTTTATTTTTTTTGTAAGTGTGCCCTGCCGATACCGATTTTTGTCGATTCCGATTTTCTTTGTAAGAACTATAATTCACAGCATATACAAAAATAAATCTACTTTTTTTTTTTTTTTCAAAACAAATCATCATTATATATAATTGTTGAATAAAGTCGTTATTTTTTTTCTTTTGCGCACAAAAAGTATTCTCGTAGCTTCGTATAATTGCGGTCGAACCACTGATGTCACATGGATTATTTTACAGATCCCCTTGCTATGTTTCTGGACTTGGGAACATTTCAGTTGCGTTGCTGTCTATGCAGGGTCAGACAGCTCTCAGATTCCATCAAAAATATCTTAATTTGTGTTCCGAAAATGAACGAAGGTCTTACGGGTTTGAAACGACATGAGGGTGAGTAATTAATGACAGAATTTTCATTTTTGGGTGAACTAACCCTTTAACTGTAAATGAGTTGTTTTCCCACTGTTTATAAATGGAAATTTTTTCCCCCTTCCCTTATTAAATGTGTCATCTTTCACATCAAATTCTTACATTGTTTAAATTAATTCAGTTAGAATAATAAGAAACTGTAGAGTTGTTACAATCAAATGAAATCAGCATCAACAAACTCAATTTTTCCACTGCAGGAAACACAGAAGCTGCATTTGAAGTGGCATTAGATGTATTTACACAGACTGTTTGATGAAGCCGAGGTGCCATAAATGCATTTACACCA